GTTTAGTACGTATTCTTGGATTTTAGTTGCCGAAAGGACTGGGCTTCTCTCGACCATGCTGGTAACAAACTCTAGAGCTTTCCTTCCATGTCTTTATCTTTTGGGGAATATTATATTATATTTGAGAGATACTGACGTCATCTCAGCATAGCCCTTTGAGTGAAACTATACAATGTTTAATATTATCTTATATATAAAGCCGACAGGTCATTTGAATGATTTTTGTCATTTTAATAGTATTTTTTTAATAATTAATTATTTTGTACAGTTTTTTTTTTAATTAATAACTTACCATAGGCTAGCAATAATAGGATTCAATTAGTTGTTTATTAAATTTTTTTTTTAAACATGTTTAAAATATCTTAAGAGGAGTGCAATGCCGATTATAAAAAAAGTCTTTCGCATCCACATAATAATATCATTAAATTAGTTGTCAAATGATTTTTTTTAACAAATAATATTATCTATACTAAAGGGTAGGAGGTGGGCTTAACCTCATAATAGGGGAGTAATAATGTGATTCAATCAATTGTTTATTAAATATTCTTGTCTCTATTCTTAATGTAAATTCAATAAATGTCGATTTTATTATGTGAATTCAACTATTTTGATTAATTTCAAGCGTGCAGTACTTGTTACTATTGAGGAGATATTATCGACATTTGAAAAGGCCACCAAAATGAACATATTTATTATGAAAAGTTAAATAAAAAAGGTGGGCTAATAACGATTATTTATTATTTATTATTATTATTTGTTACACAATGATATGGCAAGAGAAGACTATTTGACACATTCCGATCAAAATCGAGACATGCTGGCCATCACGTAAGAGTGACGTAGTCATGTTCGCAAAGCGGAAGCGATAAAGAGTAAGGGAATACTAACAATTTAAAACCAAGCAACTAACAATCCCAATTAAGAAATAATGCTAGTGAAAGTTTAAGTGTATAAATACACTTTCAGAGCAATAAGAAAGTCTAGTTGCAGTCAAGTAGGACAATTACTAAGATACAACACCAGAGGGTGAATCCTACTTTTTCGGGATTTGTCAGAACACCGTTGGATTCCTCGTGGCCACCAAACTTTGCTAACTAAAACCTGGAGGGGCAAAAAACAAAGTTGAGTGGGTCAGTAAAACACAGTTACATGAAAACCTTATTTTCCTTTGAATATACTAACCCCTCGCCGTAAAACAAGTATAATTATATATATGTAATTATATCATTTCAACCATGCTTCACATAATCATAAACAAATGTATGCTATGCCAAAATATAACAAAGAAAACAATCCAGGTAAGAATGATTTCATAGAAATATGATATGTTAGCCGGAACCCCTGAGGTGGTCTGTACGGCTGAATTCATAGCTCAAAAGTCAATCTAGCTGGAGTCACTACAATGACCTATACGGCAATAAACTGCACAAGAGTCGGAACCAAATGAAAAGGTATGTACGACAATAATGGGTGTAATATAATTATGCTCAATGCTACTCTCACATAATAGTCGAGTGATAAATCGTTAGTCACCTACGAGTCGGAACCATAAATAAGGTCTATACGACAAGACTGTGCACCTAAATTGGATTCAATGTGAGCATATGGTGCGGAAGGTGACATAATAAACAAGCTTGTACTTCATATTTCTGGCTAAATCACAATCACCCAAGGTGCAGTTTTATGAGCTCAACATTATTCAATCACATATCACATCATCGATGATTCACATAACCAAACATAACTTACCTGAACTTACCTGTGCCTCCACAACACCACATTATATATATATATATATATATATATATATATATGCAACCATGAAATGCATATACTAAAATAAAATATAGGCATTGGCATAGCATGACATTTAAGTCACATTTCCTTTAAATACGTTTTCTGGGAAAAATGTCAAGTGTATATATATATATATATACACACTGAAAATAACTGTCCACTCATAGATATGTCGACGGGTCATAGCCCCCGAGCCTCAATTGATTATGCACGTCCTGAGAATAGGTCTCACCTATAGGCGTAATAACCGAATAAATTTATTTAACGTACATGACCAACAATAGGTAATAACTTCTCATATAATGCTCAATTTGGGTATATGAATATACCACAGTGACCTACACAATCTCAGGATCATCACCAAATTTTTAGAATATTTTTCCTAGCTCCCACGCACCGGCCAATGCATGGCCAGACACTTCCCCTACGCGCGGCCATGTGCCAGGCACACTGACGGTGTCAATTGACGTCGTCAGGTATATTCCGGAATATTCCGTTTATTCCTTAACAAAACTTAACGGCGTGACCTAACACTGTTAGAATATTTCGTTAAACTTAACGAAATATCCTCTCATATTTTACCTTTAGCTCTGGTGACCGTTGCCGTCGTCGGAAACTGGGAAATTTTCATTTCCTTATAACTCACTCATTTTTCATCCATTTTCTACAAAATTACCACCAAAATGAAGCTTAGGACATAAGGAAGAGAAATATACCACTTTAAAGCCCCAAAGTCGACTGAATCACGCCGGAGAAATTCCACAAAAACCGGCCAACCCTTGAACTCGTGATCCCGACGTCCAAAACACTCCAACGATACACCCCCGAGCTTCGTGACAACCTTCTAAAGCTCCCTATGAGCTTGAAATCCCCTAAAAACCTCACAATAATTAGTGCATGAACAGTACCTCATTCGAGGTTAAGGTTTTCATGTGATTTCGAAGTATTTCTTACAACAAAATGGTATAGATGAACTCAGGAGGTTACAAGGATTCCAAATCTCACCTTTTTACCTTCGATCCGTGCTTGAAAGTTTGGTTTCTAGATCGTCCGTACGTTTTGTACGGAAAAGAAACAGAAAATCGAGAGGGAGGACAGAGAGAGAGGACACGGGGAAAAGAGAGAGAGAGCTGATGTGTGTGTGTGTGGTCCTAAAGTCACTAACCAAAACTAAGAAAATCTTAGTTCTAATTGGGTCACCAATCCCAAATAATTTAACCAATACATATCACACACACATTATTCAACGTCCAAGAGTATTTTCGTCTTTTCACAAATTTCAAAAATAACTTCTCAGGACGGGTTGTGACACTATTACCCTACTTGTAATTTTTTTTCAAATGTTAAGAGCAACTGGTGATGGAAGGCAAGGGCAAGAGCATATAAATTGTCTTTTGTGCAACTTAACCAGTTTAAAAAGAACCAAGAGCTAGGGCAAGTAAATATTAACTTTTTTTTTATATACTTTGAAAAAAAAAACAATTGTATAATTCTAATAAATTATTTCAAACATAATTAATTTGATGAAAAACTCCATTAGTCATATAACCAACTAGAAATTGAAACAACAATATAAAAAAATCTAATTTTTAGTTATTTTTCACCATTTCTTTTTCTGAAATTCTTTTTTTTTTCATTTTTTCTGATTTTTCTTTTATAATTTTTTCCTATTTCTGGTTTTTTGTTTTTTTTTATAAGTTTTTAATGTTAGATCAATCTTGGGCTTTAATTTGAAATTAGATGCACCGGATTGCGCCACATGACAAACCCTTAATATTTTTAAATATTTTTACTGTTGGAGCAATCCACGTCAACTAGTCGTTGGAGGTTTTGTGATATCTGCTACAACGGGGCACCGCTACAGGGTTTGTCGGGTCACTATCCTTTTGGGTGAGTGTAACACACGTGCCTGACATAAAAAAAAAAAAAAATCGCTGCCATCATGTTGCGTTAGCTTGTTCGAAGGCAACAAGCCTGACTTGAGAAGGTTGGGCATTTGGGCTGACAGTAGTTAACCGACCACTTGCTCTTGATTTTATGGACGGTTGGAGAGAGTTTTTTTTTTCTTTTTTTTTCAATTAAAAAGCTATATTGTTGATTTTACCCTTACATTTTACCAATAGGTGAAAATGCCCTAATAAGAATTGCTATTATTTTTCCGTTACCCAATGGTAAGGTGATTGAAGACCATTGCCCGACTCTCCATGTTTGCTACCCTTGAAAGCTGAAGCTGCCCAAAATCTCTCATTTTTCGTTTTTAATTTATTCTAAAGTATGACCAATTACATCGTCCCACGTAGCTAAAAAAAGGGGAATTTTAAAATGCGATAGCAATGGCACTTGCCACGTGCCACTCCGAGTATGCCCAGCACATACTTTGATACCATATCTATGTGCCGCCACGTGTCCGGTACCCAAGTTGGTAATATCTATATTATAGTGTCCCTGCCTACCTCAACATCAACAAATGCAAATATTCATATTTCTCACAACTCATAATTTACACTTTTATTTCAATGGAGTTGTTTTTTTTGCACAGTAAAAATAATTTTCCTTAAAGTCTCTGTTCTAAAAATTCCGGGCTAGCGCTGCCTAGGAGGGCTAGGCAGATAGCCATCATTATGACTAATTATTAGACATTTGAAAATTAAGAAAACTCGTCCACATCTATCTAGATCGCAAATCTCACTTAGAAGAAAAATAGGTAACTTTTATTTTATGTTATGTTTTAATACTTTATTATCTATATGTCGTTTTATTCTGCAATTTATGTATCTTAATACAATTATGTACTTTTTAAGTATAAGCATGAACTTCTTTGTACGATATATAATAAATTTAGTTAAATCCGCTAATGCTCTTGTCTAGGCCTCGTCTAGGCGCTAGGCTTAAGTCAACCAGCGTCTAGTGTTTTTTAGAATTTAACTTACAAAAAATTGTACTTTTATTCTCTATTTGAGAAGAACTCACGTAATTAAAAAAAAACTGTTACAAGTAATGAATTTGAATTGTAAAGTGCTCAATAATTCACTTAAATCTAATTAGAAACATGCCGGGGAGGCTAAAAAGTCTGTGTGTCTTTCTGGTCTCCAAAAAAGTGGATAGCCGTAACTTGCCACTAATTTTTTTATTTTTTTTTTAATATAAAAAAAATTTCTCAATAAAATATTATCGCTGAACGCCCCAAAGGCGGTTACATTATAAACCACATTTCATTTCCTACCAAAATCACAAGGCAAAGCGAAGCAACAAAAGCCAACACAATTCAGAGAGAAAATTTCACTTTTGTGTGGTTTATTTAGAAACTTGATAGCTTTCACTACTTGTATTTGATAATTTCAGCTTTCGGCTTATAGCTTTTAGCTTCTAGTTCATGGTGTCTGTGAATCCAAACCCACCTCAAGGTTTCTACTTATTCGATCCCATGAATACCAATATGGGTCTTCCGGGTCTCAGTTCTATGCCGCCGCCGCCGCCTACTGCTGCTGCTTCAGCTACGGCGGCGACCAGTACGACTGCTGCCTGCACGGCGTCGTCCGCGGCCGCAAACGCCGCGTCGATGTCGGCGGATGATCAGAGCAAGAAAATCCGGAAACCGTATACGATTACCAAGTCGAGAGAGAGCTGGACGGACCAGGAGCACGACAAGTTTCTCGAAGCTCTTCAGCTGTAAGGAGCTCGCTTTTTGTGTTATTTGTATTGTTTCTTTGGTTTCTGTTTGGTTGCTAGGAAAATTGGGGACAGGGTATGGAAAATAGTTGAAAAGGCTGCTTCTTTTTTAATCTAATTAAATAAGAATTAAATGGAAAATCTTTTCTTTCAGTTAATGGCGGAAGATTTGGGATTGGGATGGTGCTTTTTGTTCTGTAAAGGATTAGCCCATTTCTTATTAAACAAGTAGAGAATTGGTGCCTATTGAAGGTCCTTAGGTTTTCGGATATTTGCTACTTTAATGTTAGATAATTTGATGGGTTTTGTATGTGAACTTGTGCTAATTAGATTAATTTTGCTAAGTTGGAGCTAAAATTTTGTCCAAGGGATGTCTTTTCGGGTTTGTATTAGTGAGTGAGAGAACAGGTGCTCGAGTGTAGGTAAAGACTTGCATGTTGTCGAAGAATGTTGTTCTGAACATTAGGCTGTATCTAAATTAAAAATCTCGCTCTAGTCGATCCAGTCGATTGGATTAGTTCATTCCAGTGGAATGTTATGTTATGTAAGTTGCTGATCTTGGAATTTGAGGAATTCAAAATCCCAATTTGGAATTTACAATTAGGTCTAGTTCTTGATATTTGTTATAGGTTTTTCTAGGTACTCATTACATTGTTTGGTATCCAAGAAAAATAAGATAAACAAAAGGTATCAGGTCGTACTAAATATAATACGATTCATAATTTTATTTCCGTTTTTAGATTTGTTGAATAGATGCCTTGCTTCAGTAGGTTGTTGAAAAAAACTAAAGAAAAGAGACTAGCAGAAAAGTTAAGTGTAAGTTATGTATGTCAAAGGTGGCGAAGGCCAATTTGAGTCAGTCCCCAGTGATTAACTACAAATGGATAATCTTCAAAATGTATGTGTGTCAATTGAATGTCTTATTAAGCCGTTTTATCAATTTGGTATTTAGTTTCTCTTCTTTTCATGGTCAAGATGTATTACTGTTTATTGTAACCAATTGACGTATCTGGTTTATGTTTAACGCAATATACATGTTTGCATGAGTATATGTGTCTATACATCTTTTATATTTGTGTGTGAGGTGTGTGCATGAACTACTGCGCATGTAAGCTTTTCGGTTTTAATTCATGTGAATTGTTCCTCCATTATACATTCTTATGTTGTTTGCTTGGGTCGACTCAGATTTGATCGTGACTGGAAGAAGATTGAATCATTTGTTGGCTCAAAAACGGTTATCCAGGTGACTACTTATCATAGTCAGCTATATCATGCATCTGCAGATAGCAAAAAATAAAAATACAGGATGAATACAATATGCTTAATTTTTTATTTGAATTCCTTTTTGCTTTAAAGTTTGTATAATTACTTAAAAAGTGATTCTAGATGGTTTTCGTTGTTTTACATGTGTATAGGGAAACGCTTGTAACTTGTAAGTGATCTCTTGTGGGTACTAGAAGGATCTCTAACATTTTTATAGGTTCCGCAAATTTCATTTTGTAGTATTTTTGTTGATTGAAGTTAGATAGTTGAGGCAGAAACTGATTATCCTTTGAACTCGTGGATAGTGAACTGATATGGAGAAATTCTAAGTTAACAAATTGTCAAATGACATAAAAATAAGGGCTACCTACATTTTACACCCTCTAGGTTTGAGGTGGTTTTCAAATTTGCCATGAGGTTCTATTTTCTCACATTGCACCCCGAGGCTCTGAAATTATATCAAAATATACCTTTTGTCTCGCTGAACATTCAATCCTCCATTGAATTGATGAGTTGTTTTTGTCAATATAATGCAAATATAGCTTACACGTTAGTCCATATAAGAGTCTTAAGCTCACCATGTCGTCAATTTAATGAATGATCCAATAATCAATCCGACCAAAGGCCTAAGTTGATACAGTTTCAATACCTTGTGGTGCAAATGAAAAAATTGAAATTTCATGGCCTATTTTGAAAATCATCCAAACCTGGAGGGTTTGAAATCTAGTTAGCCCTAAAAATAACATCCTCTAATCATGTGTATGGATTTCAAGTTCACTATTTCAAGCATGGTGTTTGCTTAGCATGGAAAAAATAATTAAAACGAACAATTTGGACAAGGTGACAGAGAAATACAGGCCTCTGCAAGTCTTATCTTCTCCTCCTAGAATTTAGATACCATCTGAAAAATTGTGTCTTAGTAGGCCCTGTATCTACCCTTTCTTGTAATCTTTTCTTTGGCTCCATTTGAATGCATATGTGAGTCATGTCTTCATTGTACTAAAGGCAAATGATATTCCTGTCTTCAGATCCGTAGTCATGCACAGAAGTACTTTTTGAAGGTTCAGAAGAAAGGGACAAGCGAACATGTACCTCCACCTAGGCCAAAGAGGAAAGCAACTCACCCATACCCGCAAAAAGCTCCCAAAATTGGTCAGCATAGTCAACCATTGCTTCTTGTCAATGCTTCTTATGGTTTTGACTGAATTAATGCTCATAAGTTAATATCTGGCAGCTGCAGTTGTATCTCAAGTAGCTGGGCCGTTTCAATCTTCATCTGATTTGCTTGAACATGGATATGTTTACCAGCCAGATTCCTCATTTGTGCTTGGAACTCCAGTTAACTCTGCAACATTATCTTCTTGGAGTTGTAATTCTATGCCACCAGTCAACATAACTAAAGGTTTCATTTTTTTTTTGTTCTGCCTGCCTTAAGTGATCTAATCTTGATCAATTTGACCATAATAAGTTGTTTTCCCAATCTTGTTAAAATGTTACGTTTTTCCTTTTTTTATTATGCTTTTTTCTTAGATGAAGGAAGGTTATCTGGGCAAACTGTTACACATAACTCTTGCTACAGTAGTAGCAATGAAAGCAACCCGATAAATTGGAATATGCGTGAGACAGTTGATGGAGTAGATCCTGGCCAGCCACAAAGAGGTAAAATTCTCCCCTTTTTTTTTAATGCCTCTTTCAGGTGCTTGAATTAAGAAGTCTTAGGGCTAGTTTGGGTTGCTGTTCTTTTCTTCAAGAACTACTATGAAAAAAGCAGTTAAGTGTTTGGTAAACTATAGTGCTAAAAGTGCTTTTAGCATAAAAAAAGGGGTATTGTTTACCTTCTTTCTGCTGTTTTTGACCAATGATTTTGAAAAAAAAAAAAAAAAACCACTTTCTTTTTTCATTTACCAAACACAATTAAGATCCCAACTTTTTTAAGAAACTGCTTTTAAAAAAATTTAAGCAATCCCAAACCAGCCCTTGCTGTGGTTAAAATTATAACAGATGCTTAAGGAGGCTCTAAACAACCTAAAGGCTTGGCCCCGTCCCGTTTGGAGAATGACCCTTATGGCACGGTTTAGTCAGTTATTCTCACAGTTCAGATAAGATTCGAACCGCCACTTGTCCGAAAGCATGGTTCTTGCCTCCCTCTCTCCTCCCTCTCTCCTCTCTCCTTGGAGCTCATCCATTCGTTGAGTGATCCCTTGCTCTCACGTTTGAGTGTTTGCTCATTGCTTAGGCCAGTGAGTGAGATTTTTGCTCATTGCAGTCACCTCCGTGGTTCTTCGCACCTGGATAGTACTAGGACCCTTGTGCCCCGGCCCTTGCCCGCCCTATGACCCACAATTTAAAATGAGCCTTGTGACGAGACGCGGACATTCCCCATGCTGTGGTTCCCTCCGGTCCGTTCCTAGGTTGTGTTAGGGAACATTCGAGCGATTGCCTTCGCGGATCCAAACGCGCTCACAAGGCGCACAATAAGAATAAGACCAATAGAGACTTCATAAGGGACCATTTGAGCTGCATATCATAATGCTCCTAGAAAGGCATATTTCGAATATAAAGGAGTGAAAGTTCCCAACAATCAACGAGTTGATCATACCCTTTTTTGAACCGTAAGAGCACGTCCTCTGTCACCCCCTGCACCACACTTATGGCTCTATACCCCAACCTAACTTGTCCCAGCCCCCGGTCCTCCCTTTCTATTCCTCGGGGAATGAACCATGGGAGCATTTAGGGGGGGGGGGCGGTATTTTCTTTTTATTGATAGAAAGCATCTCTCTTTTGTCCCTCCTGACCCCCAAAAAATAACAATTGAAAAAGTTCTTGCTGCGTTGGAGACATCTTTATCTGAGGAGCAGGCTTCATTGTCTGGCTCTTCATAAATGATGTTAGGATCGGCCAGCTCATCCTCGGAATCCGAAAATAAAACAGGGACAGAACAGATTGTTTCAGTGACATATCTAATCAGATTGAATAGGATTTGAAAAGCTGTCATGGTCATTCACATCAATTTCAACAGGCAAGAAGGACGCAGAAGCTACCGTTTCTAGAATGCAAGGAAGGTAGCTTGCTTACTCTCCTCGTAGCGTACGTTGGTGGCGAGAGGCATTGGGACCATACTAAAGTAAAGAGGCATTTGGGAAGCGACTACTCACTTATGGTGAAGCTTTTAGAAGGCCAACCACTACATGGAGAGCAATAGCGAAGCTTAGAAAGGGTTGAAGCAGTAGCTTCTAGGATGAAGTCGAGCCGATACGATAGTCAAGCGAAGGGAGCGAGACCAAGCCGAGCCACTAGTGGAGTGGCGAAGAACGCCTACTATATGTATACTGGATTAGTAATCGGTAAAAAAAAAAAATTCAGTGAACTATTGAAGCTATTAGTATGATTGATCAAACAATTACCAAGGGCTTTCGGTAGACTTCTTTCATTTCCGAATTTGCTTGCGAAAAGTCCTTGCATTAGTATGAGTTCGTTGACCACGTAAGGGCGATCTATCTTGATGACGAATTCCACGATAATGAGAAATAGAAATTAATCATTCGATGTCTACCCGTTCTCCCCTCTTCAATTCCCAATGAACAACATGATCTTGACCTATCATTTGTTCAATTTGGCCGATCTGATACTTAGTTAACTCTTTTATCTTTATGTTCCCACCAATGTTTTAAAAAACTAGCCTCGGAGTGCGCCTAGGGCGCCTCTGAGGCTAGGTTTTAACTGTCTCATACCTCTTCCTTACATTATCATCTCTCTGCTTTTATTTTATTTTATTTTATTTTTATATAATGGATGTGTGTGCTGTCTGCATGCATTGTTATATGTTTACTCATTGTGCTTTTTATCCTCTATTTTATATGTATATATAAAATATAATAAATGTATATATATGTCTGTATATATTAAAAAATTTAGGTCCTGTGAAGCTTCATCTCACGCCTAGGCCAGGCTATCCCTCAGACGCCTTGCCCATGCCTCACGCTTTCAATACACTGGTTCCCACTGATACCTAATCGATAACGAACCTGAATGGCTTTTTTAGGTCCAATTCCATCAATTTTTGTTGAGGCAATTCTTACTTATTCATTGGCAACTGATCTAGCTCCTGAATATATGACATTCTGGATCCTTACTTTTACTAGTCTTCTCGGCTGGAATAAAAAATGGGCTGTCTCCTCTCTGACGATCTTTTCTATAGGTAGAACTACAGTGAGCAGTCTAAAACTTCGACCCCTATTTCTTTCTGTCTTCAAAAAAAGATAAAATGAATCTAGCCAAAAGTAGACTCTTGCAGAAAAGAATCAAAATAATATGATGTGCTCCTTCTTTTCTATAGATCCTTGAGTATGTATTACCTGCTTCATATGGTTTGGCAATATTTTGTCATTTCCTATAACACCACAAACCATGGAGGATAATCAATGTTCCTAGCTCTGTGATGTCCATGTGATGCTTTTAGATGCCCCATACTGTACACAGGTCCATAATCTTCTCCTTCAGCACCTTCGGAGTTGAAGATGATGTTTGCGTGCAATTGATATATTCCTTGGTGTTGCAATGTTTATCTGCGTTTATGACATTTTTTGCAGTTCTGCTGGTATTAACTATAGTTCCTGTATATGCAGTTTTGCCAGATTTTGCTCAGGTGTATAAATTTATCGGAAGTGTGTTCGACCCCAGTACAAGTAATCATATGGAGAGGCTGAGACAATTGGATCCCATAAATTTGGAAACTGTAAGTCAATTTTAGAATCTCTGTAACCATTATTTTTGGCAATCATATCATCAAAAGGGGTATTAGAGCCCTATTTATAAAAGAGTTGGATGGTCTTTCTCTAACTGCTAAGTTTACTGACGTGTTCTATTTTGGCTCCTTCCCAGGCACTTTTGCTGATGCGGAACCTCTCCATTAATTTGACAAGGCCCGAGTTTGAGGACCATGTAAGTATTGACAGCTGTAAACTGAACTTTCATCGTTGCATTAAGAATAAAATAACAGTCTACTTCATGAAAATATAGTCGTATGTCAACTTAACTCACAAAAAGGTTAGTGTGGTGGCTCTACATGGTAATAGTTGACTGGTATTATTTCATCATGGAGCTCCAGAGTCTGAGGAACCGATGTGTCTGATAGAGAGAGGCTCAAGCAGTTTAAGAATGGCATGTTCAGCCACTTAGTTCTACGGTTTAGTGGTATTCCTCTTTCTCTTTACTTGTAAGTGAGAGAGGTCTTAAGTTTGATTGTCGCCAAAGGCGAGTTTAAACCACATTATTGCTAGCCCATTGTGAAACTAACCTCATCCCTTCCCTTTTAGTGTAGATAAATATCGTTTGTTCAAAAAAAAAAAAAAAAAGACATGTTCATATCTTGTGCACATGGCATCACTCGGAAGTTCATATCTTTTGTCCGTGATTGAACTGTTGCAAATTGTACCCTATTCTCATTGGCAGGCAGTGGTTGCCACTCAAGTCCTTGATCTACTCTACTCGGCTGAACTTGTAAAATGATTATAGGAAACTATAACGTCAATTTTGTTGCATAAGAAGATCCAATAGTTTGAGCATGCACGCTCTATCCATCTGAAAAGTTGTTTAATTTCTAACGTCAGACGAACTTCACTGTGCTTTGCTTGTGTCTGAGCCTTCTAGGACACATCACGTCAATGCTTTTCACTCTCTAGTATTGGTCTCTTTTCTAGCTTCGACTATATAATATGGTGTATTTGCAACTAACGGTTCTCTTTATCTACACAGAGAAAGCTAATTGAATCGGATGGTGCCGGCTCAGTCAAAACTAAATCCAATGGCAATTTCAACTTGTCTCGCATTGTCAAATCAGAGAATCCCATCCTATCTTCTTGAGAGATGGAAGGTAAAATGGAAATTTTAAACTCCTCAATATTTACAGCGAATATCCGACCAATGCGTTTTAACTACGGATTTCAGGGCAGAGTGTTGAACGACCAAGTTCGCTAACAGTTAATAGCGCAGAGTGGCTTTGTATATATGTAGAATACACGGTTTTGAATACATACAGCTTGTGAGTGGACCAAACCCAGTTTTGTGTGCAGACCATACTTGTAATTTCGTCGTGAAGGAATGTGGAATGATACAGTCAGTCAACTCCAATGTTTGTTCCGGAGGCCGTCTTGTATTGAGTTTCGAGGTTGATTGTGGACTCTATTTCGTTGTAATTGTTGTTTTTCGGTTTTACATAACTGGAATAAAAGTAGGACCTCAAAATGGTGCCAAACAAGGGAAACCGGCTACTGTAAAGTAGTTTCCCCGTCTCCGTCTTAAACGATAATCATTCTGCAGAAAGTTCGTAATTCTTCTCCAGTTAAGTCCGGTCTGAATTTAGATTATAAGCTTGCTTGAAGGTGCTTTTAAAATGGCTGAAAGCGCTTCTGATGAAAATGTTTTTGAAACTAATCCTTAGTAAATATGGAAGTGAATTCTGAAAAAACATTGTAACTGCTTCCATGCTTCCTGGAAGAAGCATTGAAGTGTTTTTATTCACTTCTGCCAAGTGCTTTTAGTCATTTTCAAAGTATTTTCAGAAGAGTTCTATTTTGTTTTCTGACGAGATGAACGTTGGTGTGGAGACGGAATCGTAAGTTGTAGATATTGCTATTATGTTTGGGCAGCTGAATTTTCATATCATCAACGAGAAAGATGTACATTTGGAGGTTCGGGACTGCTTCAGTAACTAGCATTCGTTAACCCAAAATTTAAGTGCTTCTTGAAGTTGCTTTTTCATAAAGCACTTCTACAATCTACGAACAATTTAGCCTCTCCCTAGAAATCCATTTATTTTCTTTATTCAATTCGTGTTGAAATAGTGGCATAAAACACCCTTACGCTCTTCCTTGTGGCTTTCGGAAATCAAATAAGAATATGAGAAACAAAATATTAATTACACCACCTGCCCTCAACACATCCCATTTCAAAGAAGCAAAATATTAAACACATCGCCCATTCCTTGAGTTGCACATACCATTCAAGAGGACTCTGAAATCTGAGTACATTGAATATACACAAGTTTCAAGACATCCGAGTGGCCTATCTATACCCGAAACCCATGTCAAGTTCGTGTCCGTGAGCCCCTTGAGTGTGTCCGCTAGCAGGAAACTGATGAATCTGTTTTGGGTTTGACCGTAGTTCCATCTCAATAAGCCTTTGGAGCGCCTCTGGATGGTGGTTGCTTCCACCGGCAGCGTCAGGAGCTGAATTCAATGGAAGTCAGTGTACTTCATGAAATTTCCAACATCACAATATACCATTTATAGTTCAGCCAATGTTTACGAGGGGTAGAAGATTTTGACTCAATGTTGGAACTAAAAAGAAACAAAAACAAGAAAAAATAATCAAGCAATTTTTGGAAGTTGAAGAAAGTGGAACATCAAAGAGCTACAATTGTTGCCGGCGACTTTGGGAGATTTAATCACTCAAGAGTAATTTCTAAGGAAAATACAAGCAAAAGTTGCACAAGCCACTACGTGAACGCATTAAAAACAGAATATCAGGCAAGACACAATGAAATCAACCAAGGGCACTAACAAAAGATGCAATGAGAAGTGCCTTACCAGGCGATGGCATTCCATGACCACCAAAGTTGGGATTCTGGGGACCAAAGGGGAAACCTTGCATTGGGTTCAATTCTTGCATAAAAGCCTGACTGACTGGTTGAGCAGGCAGAGTTGCACCCAGATTAGGATGAGGATGCTGGGGTGGAGAACTGGATAATCCTTGTAGCAGGTGAGGCGGAGGAAAGTTGCCTTGCATACGCATCTGTTGCATCATAGGGTGATGGGTGTGAGCATCAAACCCAGATTGCCCAGTGTTAGAATGATGAAAAGGTGGACGAAGCATATTTGCATGAAATTGATGATTTGGAGGCGGATCACTTCGCATAATGCCTTTTGGCCCCAAAAAACTCATTTGAGAGTTGATGTTGACAGGATGAGAGTCTAATGGGTGGAACGGGGGACCCACATGATTCAATTGAGGATGATGGAGCTGCTGAGAAGGTGGTTGTACATTAAGGTTCTGATATGGATTATCAGGTTCTCTTATATCATAAGGACCACGACCACGAAGAAAAGGAGGAACTTCTTGACTTCCCATGCTTCTTTCATCTTTAAAAGCAGAATTCATAGCTGCCAACTTTTCAACAATGTCAACCCGTGTGTTCTGGGAGGAGAACAATTTGCTTTTCACTTGATTCCCAGAAGACATAAAATTTTGGATGTTCAACGGTTCGCTGGCTGCAATCAAGCCATCCTCCTCAGGAAGTCGAAAATCAGGATGCCCCTCAAAGACCCCAATCTTAGAACCCAAGTCGGTTCCAACCTGTGATGATGATGAACCTAGTTCAATATGAGGATTATTGAGACCTAGCCACTGCTCTTCGATCATATCTGATTTTGTTTGCTTCCTCCGATTTGCTGTCAAGTCACTACTACTATGACTGGTTGAGTTGGGTCCAATTTGAATTGCAGGAGGAATTAGACTGTTATCTGTCACAGGAAAAGGCACACTGTGAGGCTCCATAGGATCTACTCTTGCAGATCCAATTGGGGCCCTCTTAACAGAAACCGGTGCTCCAACTGTTTGTAACTCTTTCATAAAAGCAGTTCCAAACAGCGTTTCAAGAGTCATGTTCTTCCCTGCATCAGAAACATTTTCAGAAATTTCATTTTTTGAAATGCGGACTGCAGTGCCAATAGTCGCTCCTTCAGTGTCGTGTAATTTTTCAAAATACATTGTTTCTTGATTATAGGATGGTTCCATATCTTTCAAGCATGTTCCCTTCTGCAACAGTGAAAGTAGGTGCTGGGATGCATTATTATCAACATTAGCTTTCAGCTGCTCAGGCTTTCCACCAGCCCCAGGAGGACTCCACTTTTGAACAGGGGGCAGCAAGGTCGGACCATTTTCACTAATTCCAGACAGAATCGATTGTTCAAGGTCTTCACATGTAAGGACTGTCGAAACTGCCTCTGGTTTATTACTTTTGGACAATTGTTCAGAGCTACCAACTGTAGGAGATACATCTGAATTCATAACCCTGTCCGCAGGTTCAGAGTTTTGAGAAGAAAAACTAGGAAACCTGTGATCACGTATCTTCCCAGCAGTAATGCCGGATCCGCCTTTTTCACCACTAACGATCAATGAAAGTAAGTCATTTTGCCTTCCGGATGAGAAATCATCACTGGGTTTCCTTTCTGCAGTAAGATAGAACCAATTAGAACTTAAATGTAATTTCCAGTTCCAAGCATAAACAATTTAAGTTGGAAAGCACTTTAACTCCAAGATATCAACAGCAGCAGACCTTCTTGATGAAACCAATGAGCAAACTTGGAAGAATGGGCAGTGTCAGAGCTCCGTGTCTCATCATCTTTACTATCTTGATGCTATAAAAGCACAAAAGAAATACATAAGAATCATAATTCAAACTAATGACTTTGTTTTACATTTAAATGAGAAGAAAAACACAAACATTTTTTTTTTTTTTTGAGAAGAAACAAAACATTTTATAGAAGAAAAGAGAAATACACTGGAGTGGATAAGAAATCCACCATTAACAAGAAACAAGAAAAAACTCTCACTAGGATTTGGCTACAGCAACATTAGCTAGACCTAACTCACTTTACTGCTGCTAACAAATCCCACAGTAATTGAGAAATAGAGTAGTTATTAAAAACATTTGAGACTGAAGCCCAAAGGGCTGCCCAATATTTTACTCTTCCCCAAAGTACTTCTACCCCCACACCTGTATAATCCTCAAAAATTCTTTTGTTACGCTCCAGCCAAATGTTCCAAAAAACTGCCGAGACCAGACAACCCCACAAAGCTTTAGCTTTCCTCCCACTTCCTAGGGCCTGAAACTTGGTGCTTAGAAGCTCGAAACAACCCTTTGGAATGACCCCACAAACATTTGAAACATATAAACCATGAATTGCAGTTAAAATTGATTTTAAGGGGAAATATGCAGATGGATGCTTCAGATTAAAGCTGAATCAAAGAAATTTGTTTTCACACTGACATTGGACCATTAGATAGAACACCAACATGTAAAACTTATTTTGCTAAAATATAATTTTAACAGACCCTATCGGCAGAAGGTCTCAGTATAGTAATAGCATGGCATATGCAGGCACAGATAAAAGAAGCAAAGATAGAAGGGAATCCATTCACTGTATGACTTTATGGTTATAAAAATTAGAATGAATCAAGATCCTGGGGAACCTTACTGTCCTGAGTAATAATCTTTGCAAGAATTTATCGAAAATCTATGTAGTAAAAGAATGACATTGGACACCAGTTACCTCAGTGGTATTAGAGGAGCCAACTCCATTTAATGCTACAGCATTGGTAAAAAGCTTTTCCAGTATTGACGCAGGAGGACCTTGATTGGATTCACCAACAATCTTAGTCCTCATCACCTTTTCAGCATTAAGGTCAATTACTTCACTATTTCTGGAGACTTCTACAGGTTGTGATGTATTAGCTATGTTATAGAGTTGACTCTCAATGCCAATTATCTTATTCAAGGCACCTTGAGGTGGTGACAAATTTTGATTCTTCTCACCCATGCTATCAACTGGGACATCAGTACTTGCACTTCCATGTTGTTGCTTGCTCAAGAACATTTGTTCAGTTGATTGTTTCTCCACTTGGTTATCAGAAGTCCCATTTAAAACAGGTTTAGTTTTGGCACGCAAGATATTTTCCTCAAGTCCAGAATTCCCAACCTATCAAAAAGAAGGAAAAGATGTATTCAATTAATAGCAGAACTCAATTGATAGAGCATGAGAAATAGGAAGGTTCAAGCTTGGGTTGGCACTACTACATGGTATTTTAGCGGCAGTGTAAACTATCTGTTGCAGAGATCAGAAAAATCAAATCACACAACATTGAAAAATGTTGTAAATATTAACCCAGCATCACAAACAAGTGAATGCAAATTTCTTCACATGAAAAACCAGCCTTCCGCAATATAACCTCTTGGCACTTCAAGATTTTTATCATTTTGATTCAATAGATAACATGACCTATATAATACATTAGGAATCCAAATCATTATAATCCTTGAATTCAGCATCTTCATCAACGGTTAGTGAAATGAACTATGGTTACCTCAACTTCACGGGTATCGCTCAAGGATTTTGGTCCAAGATTTCTTTCCAAAACTGTGGTAGCAAAACCTGGGGGTACCAGAGGTCTGGGTGCAGCAGTTTGCAAAAGAAAACT